AGGCAACGTTTTGTAACCTAATGCAATAAACTTTGAAAACTGGTGGAAAGAAAGAAACAAGATTCAGAAGAAGAGTGGAGAGAGGCAGCAGAGCTGGGCTCCTCACCCCGCCTCCTCCAACACACCTACTCCAAGAAACCGCATGATGAGAGAAAAAGATCCTGTGATCTAGGTTTTTAAATTGTCCACTAATCTAGGAGTAGTGAAAATGGCTACTGGGAAGACTGGGCGGAGTGAACACAGAGACTGATGGACATGAACTGGGGAGCCAACCTAGAACCAGAGGCTACCCCCAGGCTGCAGCTAGCTCCCAAGGTACGGAAAAGATGGTAAATCCAGATAGGAAGCTCAGCGGGGAACATGAGCTGATCTCAGATGCAATGGGAAGAAAAGCCCTAACTTCCCCAATAATATAGGTGTCCACTGAAATAAACAGTCTAGGTGATGTTAGTGAAGGAGTTTATTCAATAATCAGCGTGAGGAGTTGGAACCCGGGGAAAACAGTTCAGCAGAGCGCTCTGATGGAACTGCTCCGAGGCGTGTGAGTTGAAGCACAGCTTATATCTCTTCACAAACAGTGCACATGCAGGGAAGAGGAAAAGAAAAAAAAGACTTAAAACTAGATTTCAAAAAAAAATAAAGGAAAAGAGTACATCTGGGCTTTTCTCTAGATTCTGCATTGAAGGTAACATAAACAAAAATTTCTTGGTTATACATCAAACAAGTTCAGAGATGCTGATGCTATCTGTGTGCGGAGGGAGGCAAGGACCAGGATCGTCAATTATTTCCTCAATCTCTAAGAAATGCAGCTGGGAAACGTGAGAGTGAGGTACCCCTTTATCTCTTCCTGTTGTGGATCTGTGCAGCTGGCGTCTTCAGTCATGAGGTGTGGGGTTGCAAGGTCATTTGACACAGGCTGAAGACGGCCTGCCCAGCTGCTTCACAGTACAGCATGGATTTTATTGTCCTGACTTAACGCCTATGCAGTTTGCTTGCTAGATTTACCTGTTGGACCAGGGAAAGAAGTCCCAAAAATCTGTCCACATAGGAAATTCAATGTCTGGATGAGATGCTCAAACATGAGCAAGATGAAAAGAAACCACATGACCACAATGCAAAATTACTGCAGCAAAATAACAATAGGAATAATATAAACATCAATTAAATTATGAGTACAGAGTTTTAGTTTTGCAAAATGGAAAAAGGTTGTGGAGATGGAGGGTAGTGATGGTTGCACAAAAATGTGAATGTACTTAATGTCACTGAACTGTACACTTAAAAACAACTAACATGGCAAATTTTATGTTATGTATAATTTACCACAATTTTTATTTATTTTTTTTTTTTAAAGATTTTATTTATTTATTTTTTCCCCTCAAAGCCCCAGTAGATAGTTGTGTGTCATAGCTGCACATCCTTCTAGTTGCTGTATGTGGGACGTGGCCTCAGCATGGCCGGAGAAGCAGCACGTCGGTGCGAGCCCGGGATCCGAACCCGGGTCGCCAGCAGTGGAGCGCGCTCACTTAACCACTAAGCCACGGGGCCGGCCCAACCACAATTTTTAAAATTAAAGTAAATTAAAGGAGGAAGGGTTAGAAAGAAATATCGTTGATAAAATACAAAGAAAACATAACTCAAGGAACAGAGAGAGATTCCTGACAATGGTTTCTGCTGAGAATCACTTAATAAGCATGTGAATTCCATATGACCAGAGCCCATAGATGAGGTGTTATAATGAAACAGTGAGGTCAATAGGAGATTTCACCCTGAAGAAAACAAATTGACTATCATAGCAGCACGCTTACATGATAAATGGCAATAGTAAGAAGCAGAATAGATAGAGCTGAAAACTGAATTATCTTCATAGAGCAAATGACTGAAATAATCAGTTAATGCAGATGAAAATTAAGATTATAACATTATAGGGAAGCTGCTAGGTGTGGAAGAAATTCAGATCATCTAAAGTAAGGATAATTGGTGCTTCTGAAGTAGAGAGTTCACAAATAGAAGGAAGACATATTTGATGATTTAAGAGATTTTCCTTAAGATAAGTAATTGAAGTTGCAGATTGAAAGAGCGCAGTGTATCCCAGAAAAAAACAGACACAGAAGGCTTAACATTAAGATATATCCAAAGTAAGCTATAGAACTTTAAAGATAAAGAAAGAATTCTTTAGACACACAAACTCCCCCTCACTTGCAAACAAGCAAATCACTTATAGAGGCAGAGAGTTCAAGTTGGCCTCAGATTTCTTTACGACGGCATTTAAAGCCAGCAAACAATAGAACAATGTCTACCAAATCCTAAGGAAAAGAAAATGGGATCCAAAAATATTATTTAAGCGTAAAGATAAAAGGCAGGTATCCTCAAGCATGAAATAATTCAAGGCATACAACATCAATGAGCTCTTCTTAAAGATGCTGCTTGACAATGAAATTTGATGAGATCAGAGAGAAGCCACATTATAAAAACGAAGATATAAGCAAATATCCCTCAGGAATAGAGACGTCACAGTTTAAAAAAAAAAAAAACCATTTATCTACTTAAATAGTTAAATAGAAAAAGCATTAAACAATTAGGGATCTGAGAATTTATTATACAAATACACTTTCTCATATATGAAATGATATATGTACATGGCTATTCATTACTGCATTATTTGTAGTAGCAAAAGATTGAAAACAAACCAAGGGTCCATCAATCTGGGACAGATACATTCCACAGCAGAGTACTATACAGTTAATAAAAAAGAATGAGAACATACATGTTTATGTATGTATAAGGAAAGTTATCTAAAGTATATTGTTAAATGAAAAAAGCATAATGCGTAATAGTGAGAAAAGGGGAAATAAAATATATATTCATTTTTGCTTGTATCTGAAATGTAAATATCTATAAGAAACTAAGTAGTTATCTAATGTTGGCAAGAAGAACTAAGAAGGTGGGACAAGAGTGGAAGTGAAACTTCTCAGTATACAGCATTTTGTATTATTTTCACTTTAACTCGTGAATGCGTGATATATTTGAAACAAATTTTTAAAAACTATAAGAATGATAGTTATCAAATAGAATTGAAATATCGTAAACCTAAACAATGTTTTAAGAAAATAATATAACTATTGAAAATTTTAGTTGGGAAGAAGAGAGATAGAAGGGAATCTGTTAGTGCTAATTTTTCAAAACAGGATCAATAGATAATATCTAAATTGGAAACAGAATTTAGAAAACACACAATGTCTCTAATTTGTTTCATAACCTCTTAATGTATTTCATAATCTTTTAATGTGTATTTGTAATCTCTTTTTTGAACCTTAAAGGGATCTTTCATGAAACAATATTTCTTGTGACAAACATACGTTTATTTGAAGTACAGTAATTCCTCCAGTTTGTTTTAGTTTTTTTCTGCTATGAAATTCAAGTAATATTAAAATTTTGGTAAAATAGCACTTGTATGATCCTATTTTAATAAAAGTACTTCTGTTTATTTTTCCACCCATCTATCCTTATAGTCGTAAAGATAGACTCTTGAAATAATGTTTGTTCATGTTTCAGCAATGATCATTTCTGGGTGGGTGGTTTTCAGATGATTGGTATTTACTTTTTTATTTCTGCTTTTCTAAATCATTTTAATTATTCGTAATAAGCAAATATCATTTTTAAAAAAATGGGATGATTTTTCTGTAAGCATACACTCGAGCACACACACGCACTTCTGTGTGTACAGAAGAAGCAAATGCCTCAACAGGTTTACAGTGATTGAGTCAAGTGGAAGAAATGTGGTGATTGGATAATTATTTTCTTTGTGTACTTTTCTGCATTTTAAAAACATTTAAATAACAAAATTATCAGCTAGTCTAAAAGGGCTTATCATGCAAAGCAAATTTCCCTGTCCTTCCTCTAAGAGACAAAGCACTTTTAACTAATTTTAACAATTTCTTATTGTATCTATCTCCATAATTCTTTTAAAAAATAGTAAAAAGCTGATCCTACTATTTTTTAATTTATCAGCCTTAAACTTCTTGCTATGGCAGATAAGGATTTAATACTCTGTCACCATCCCTTTTACGGTTATATCACTATCTTTTGTTAAATCAATAAGCTATATATTATTATAATATGTAAATATTGTCCACTGCCAAATCAAATAGTATACCACAAGCACAGTTCCCGTCTTGTACAGATTTTGTTTTTTTCCTGGAATTTCTAATTACCATTCCTTCTCTTCTGGCCGCTCCTGATTCTTTTTTCTTGGACCTCAGGTAAGAATTGGGTTAATGGTGATCCTTGTTTCATTTCAATATTGGTTCATGCAAAAACCTCATGGATATTTCCTCTTGTCTATCCTTGAATAAGATATATATATTGTTCTCCATTTATTTGTGTTCAGTCAAGTTCCCCTGTATCCCCAGGGCCCTCCATCCTTCTCCAGTCGAGACTGATTACATTTTAAATGGACTGAATAAGTACTCTCTAATGGAATAAAGAGAAAAGAGTTTTGACAAATTTACAAACCTTCACTTTTAAGCTCTCGTAAATAATTAGGTCTATTTTCTCATATTTTTAGCTCACTAAAAGCAACAAAAAAGAACTCTAAGTGTGACAAAAAATGCTTTATAACGTGGATAAACATCCCACGTTTTCAAGAAATCATGTGTAATTAGTGACACAGTCCCCTTTACGTAAGCACATCCCACTTTGCAGCGAGCACATCTGGAAGAAAATAGGGCTAACAATGATTAAATATCTATTCATGGCTAAGAACAAGAAGTTATCTTATTCAGTCCTCCAGCAATCTTGTATATTATTTGCTTACTTTATGAGGAAAATGAGGAAATTACAAGGCTAAATAACCCACCCAAGTTCACACAGTTAGTTAGCGGAGGAATTAAAAGTCTAGCCTAGGTTTGACTCCCAAGTTCATATTCTTCCCAATCTACCCTGCTTTCTGGTCTGTCCTCACCAAATCTTACCCGCTATATTGTATTTGTTTTTTCTCTTAGTGGACGAGTGTTCGTCTGACTACACAATTGTGCTTCCTGTGATTGGGGCCATCGTGCTTGGTCTCTGTGCTGTGGGTCTGATTGTCTATGGAGTCCGCCTAAGGCGTGAAGCATCTGGATACCAGAGAATCTAACTGATGCCTAGGGGAAAAGAAAATAATGGAGTTTAGAGAATTCTGTCATCATTTCCAGGATATTGGAGACTTCCCTTAGAGTGTGGTCCTTCTGACAATGTAAACCACCATCTTTCACAAAAACCAAGTCATTTCTGATTTAAGTTCAAGCAGCACATCAATTTCTAAATATTTTTTGTGCATTTTATGAGAGATCCAGTGAGCTGTTTAACAGTATTTTCTACTTTCTTTCTAAATATTTTCACCACTCAAAGTCAACATTTGAAATATGTTAGATTAGCATAATGCATGTAAAGTGATAGACACCTCCAAATTATAAACCAAAGCATCAATTGTAATTAACACTACCTGTGTTCACACTGGGAATTTTATTTTACCCTTCATCTTTTCCATTTTAAAAAATGCCTCTGCTTTATCTATAAAACAGACTTGCAGTGCTTTTATTGGCCACGTTTTATATGATGTACATCTGCTTGGAGATCTACTTACCTCCTTTTCCACTTTAAATGTTTTTTAAAAATCAGCAAAAAGAGCAACATATCACAGGTTGTCTAGGTTTTTGATGCGACCCCAACAAGAGGAACAAATCAGCTTTTATTTTTATCTTGATGACTCCTGCTCCAGAATCACTGAAGACTAAGATTTAGGTGGCTATGAACAACAGAACTAAATAATAAGCAAGAAACAATAATAATGGCCCTTAATTATTAAACACATATGTGCCAGACACTAGCCTAAGCAGTTTATATACATCTCATTTAATTCTCACAACTAACAGATGAGTAAACTCAGAAGTAAGGAAATTAATCACTTAAACGTCACCCAGCTAACCAGTGGCAGAGCCAGAATGTTGGTCTGGTACCATGGTCTCTGGTCTTCTCACTATACCAAGTTGCCTACAAGGACAATAACACTAAGTGTTGCCTGAAGCCTCACATGACCATATGCTCCCTTTCTACAGAGGAAATGAATTTATCCAGAATTGTGAGAGATTGGGGTACATGAATGAGGTCTTGATGGATAATGAAATGGCCTATCTTTAATTAAGTTCTCAAACCCCTTGAAGGAGACTGAGGGGCTCTGTAAAACATTAGTTTCTCATTTTTATGGGATTGTTTAGCTGTGGCTCTAAAGATGAAAGAATGGAGTAAACTTCTCAAGGTATTTTTTATTTCTTTGAAAAGAGAGACATCTAACTGCTCACCAACTTTTCTTTCTTGGTTATAGATCTCCCTCTTGTGGTAACTTGCTTCTTCTACACTTTCATAGCCACATTTTCGTTCTGGTTCACTTTATTCTATAGAGCAGCTGGCCAAGAATATTTTTCCTGTTTGTTTTTACTGCTAAAGAAAAGAACTAAGTCAGGACATTAACAGAGAAGACCACATACCTCCAGCATTCTTTAATAAAGGAATAATTCAAGTCACCCCAGAGGACATATTGACTTTCCTGATTTGTCCTCTTATGAGTCAATAGAGTTGGCAAGGTCCTAACTTTAGTCTTAATAGAATATTGAATTGTATTAAAAGTTTTCATAATAAAAACTTATTTTGGAGATTTGTTCATGTCACTCATTTCTTATAATTCAGTTTTCCAGGGGTTTTTTTTTTTTTTTTGGTGAGGAAGATTGGCCCTGAGCTAACATCTGTGCCCATCTTACTCTATTTTGTATGTGGGATGCCACCACAGCATGGCTTGATGAGTAGTGCTTGACAGTAGGTTCACGCCCTGGATCCGAAACCGCGAATCCCGGGCTGCCAAAGCAGAGGGCACGAACTTAACCATTACACCACCGGGCCAGCCCCCAGTTTTTCAGTTTTTGTGCTGTAAAAAACTTTATTTACAATCTTAATGGTCAGTCTTTAATATGAAGGTTGTCCCTTGAATCAGTAAGTTAAATCACCTTTCTATAAATAATTTATTTTACTCTATTCTCCATTGCCACATTATTACTAGGTAGGAAGACCTATTGGAGAGAAACTGAATATCTGAGAAGATAAACCACATTAAAGTTACAAATTAAATCTCTCAACTCCTAGTCCAGATTAACTGATTGGTTTACTGGTTTACTTATGGGCTGCCACAATTTATCCATTCATTCATTTATTCATTCAACCAACATTGATTAAGGACTTACTAAATGCCAGACACTAGTAGGGGCTGAGATAAATAAGAAGAGTCCTGTATTAGTTATCTATAGCTGCTCAACACATTACCCCCAAATGTAGAAGCTTAAAACAACAAACATGTATTATCTCACACAGTTTCTGAGGGTCAGAAATCTGGGAACAGCTTAGCTGGATGGTTCTGGCTCAAGGTCTCTCACCAGGTGGCAGTTAAGCTGTTGGCCAGAACTACAGTCATCTGAAGGTTCACCTGGGGCTGAAGGATCTGCTTCCAAGTTCACACCATGTGGCATACCCATAGGGAGGCTCACAACATAACAGTTGGCTTTCCCCAGGGCAAGTGGTCCGATAGAGAGAGAGTGACCACCCAATCACAGGAGTGACATACCATCACTTCTGCTGTATTCTATTGGTCACACAGACCACCCCTGGTACAATGTGGGAGGGGACTACACAAGGGCGTGAATACTAGGAGAGGCAGAAATCAATGGGGGCTATCTTGGATGCTGGCTACCCATGTCCATTGTCAAGGTACACACTATGGAATTACTAGTTTACTTTTTTGGGGAACTCAGGTAAATAAATTCCAGTATTCGCACTAAGAAAATTGGCTTAGCAGGAATCCATACAAAGGGTAATGAGAGCTGGGCCCTTTCCAGTCTGCTTCCAACTCTGCTCCAGGTGTAACACGTCCCCAGGAGAGCAGCCTCTCAACCCCTGGTGCTGACAGGCTATGGACCAGCTGCTGCTCAGGCTGACTTGCCTTTCCATGAAGGCTGGTTATTGTCCCATTGCTCTACAATATTCATTTATAGCTTTGCCTTAGGGATTTGTTAACTCTCCTGTCCTCTGTCATAATGTAATCCAAGAGATCTGGACCACACAGACATCCCACGGGACACCATACTGAACCATTACATTGATGACATCATTCTTTTTTTTTTTTTTTAAACTTTATTTATTTATCCCCCCAAAGCCCCAGTAGTTAGTTGTATGTCATAGCTGCACATCCTTCCAGTTGCTGTATGTGGGACTAGGCCTCAGCATGGCCGGAGAAGTTGGTGCGCCCCCAGGATCCGAACCCGGGCTGCCAGTAGCGGAGCACGCACACTTAACCGCTAAGCCACGGGACCGGCCCTGATGACATCATTCTAATCAGACAGGATAAGTACAAATTGGTTAGCAGGCTGGAGGCCTTGTAAGACACATGTGTTCCCAGAAGTGGAAAATCAGCCCTATGAAGATTTAGGGATTGACTACTTCAGTGAAGTTTTTAGGGACCCAGGGGTCAGAGGCATGCTAGAATATCCCCTCCAAAATAAAATACAGGGGCTGGCCCAGTGGAACAGCAGTTAAGTTCACGCGTTCTGCTTTGGCGGCCTGGGGTTCACCGGTTCGGATCCTGGGCACGGACCTACTCAACCACTCATCAAGCCATGCTGAGGTGGCGTCCCACATAGAAGAACTAGAAGGATCTACAACTAGGATATACAAATATGTACTGGGGCTTTGGGGAGAAAAAAGAATAAGAGGAAGATTGGCAACAGATGTTAGCTCAGGGCCAATCTTCCTCAAAAAAAATAAAACAAAATAAAATACAAATGTTTTGCATTTTGCATTATTTCTACAAAGAAAGAGCCAGGTAGGTCTTTTTAGGTTCTAGAGGCAACATTCCACTAGAGGCTAGAAAAATTCCTCTCGCCCATTTACCAGGTGACATAGAGAAAGCTATCAGTTTTGAGTAGGGTCAGAGCAGGAAAGGGCAGTAAAGTAACTCCAGGCCACAGTGCAATCAGCCCTCTGCTGCTTGAGCCACACAGTCAGGCAGACCGTGTGGTGTTGGAGGTGTTGGGGGTGGGAGAAGTTACAGTATGGAATTTTTGGCAAACTCCAGTGGGAGAATCATAACACAGGTCCCAGGCATTTGGGAGCAAGGCCAAGGCCATGCCATTTGCAACAAAGAAATATATGCCCTTTGAGAAACAGTGCTTGGCATGTTACTGGGCCCTGGAACACTTGACTTTGGGACACTAAGTGACCATATATCCAGAATTGCCCATTTTGAGCTGGATTCTGTCAAATCCACTAAGTAAAAAAGTCAGAAGAGTCTAGCAGTAGTAAATGGTAAGATGGAAATGGTGCATCCAGGATCAAGCCCTAGCAGGTCCAGAGAGCATGAATAGGCTGCATGGCCCAGACCACTATGTCACCCACCAGAGTTGCACCAGTGCCCCTCCCATGGCTTGCACCTATGTGGGGGAAGGGGGCATATAACCAGTTGAAAAAGGGGGAAAGCTCAAATTGGTTTACAGATTGGTTGGCTTGGTACGTGGGTGCAGACGAAAACTGGACAGCGGCTGCATTATAGCCACATTCAGAAGTGGCCCTGAAAGACAGCAGGGAAGAAAAACCTTCCCAACGGACACAGCAGTGAGCAGGCACTGGTCATCTACTTTGTGTGGGAAGGAAAAAGTGGCCCGGGGTGAGAAAATACCCTGATTCCTGGACAGTGCAGTGGTCTGGTCATCTGGTCAAGGGTCTAGAAAGAAAAGGGCTGGAAGATCAGAGACAAGGAGGTCTGGGAGAGCAGCCTGTGGATGACATATTAGAGTAGGCATGAAGTGTGGAGATTTTTCCATCATGTTAATGTCTACCAGAAAGTATCCACTGTGAAAGAGTCACTGAACAACCAAGTTGACAAGATGATTCAGCCAGTCAAGTTAGCTAGCCTTTGTCATAGGCCACGCCAGAATTTGCACAATGGGCATCTGAACGGAATGAACACGGTAGCAGAGACAGAGGCTACGTATGGACCCAACAGCGTGGTCTCCCACTTACCAGGGCCAGTCTAGCTATTGCAAATTAAAACCACAATGAGATACCGTTCCACAACCTCCAAAATGGCTAAAATTAAAAAGATTAGCAACACTAAGTCTCGATGAGGAACCGCCATTTATTGCTGGTAGGGGAATAAAATGATAAAACCATTTTAGAAAAACTTTTCAGCAGTTTCTTATAAAATTAAACGTATAACTATCCCAGGACTTGGCAAACTTCTCTGTAAAGAGCAAGATAGCAAATATTTTAGATTTTGTGAGCCAGACAGTTTCTATGCAACTACTCAGCTCTGCTGTTGTAGCTTGAAAGAAGCCATAGACAATACATAAACAAACAGGCATGGCTATATCCCACTAAACTTCATTTACAAA